CCAGGTTCAATACTTGGTCCACTTCTTTTTTCCCTATATATTAATGACCTGCCATCTGTCTGTCCTGATGTGGAAACACAGCTATATGCCGATGACACTGTGATATATGTGCATGCCAACACAAAGCAAAAGGCTGCTGATAAACTGACCTCAGCTTTAGTGCTGATCACTAGCTGGCTAAACCGCTCCTGTCTTCAGCTTAATGTCAACAAAACAGTTGGAATGTTTTTCAACAAAAAGAAAATGCAACATTGTGCAAAATATAAGCATCTCAGGTGAACATATTAACATTGTGCCTGAGGTTAAGTACCTTGGAATCATTATTGACTCTAATTTAACAGTCAAGTCAAAAAAGTCAAAAAAGTGACCCAAAGAGTCAAGTTTAGTCTAGCAAATTTTAAATACATAAGAAACACAATGACATTGAATTCTGCCAAATTATACATGAATGCCATGATCATGTCACATCTTACATACTGTCTCACAAGCTGGGGGCAAACTAACAGCTCCACACTGAAGCCACTAGCAACCCTGTACAAACAAACCCTCAAAGTACTGGACCAGAAACCTAACCGCTCCCATCACTGTACTCAACAAGTTTAACATCCTGAGTTGGGAAGATTTAATAAAGTATAGGAACATTGTTCTGGTTTAAAAAATCCTGCACGATACAGCCCCTCCACCTCTTAAATCATTGGTTACTCAACGTAAGAACACCATACTGACCACTAGAAGCTCCACACGTGGCGACCTATCAGTCCCATTCAGGAAGAGTACTTTTGGTCAGTCATCATTCTCGGTCCCAGCAATACAAAACTGGAACTCTCTACCCACTCAAATCAAAGACATACGTACATACACATACCACCTTCACAGCTCACTTAAAAACATGGTTCACTGAGAACTACACCTGCACACACTAGTCTGTGTTGAGTATGGCGTGAGTGTTACATGTTGTGTTCCATGTTGTGATCATGGATGTTGCCCCTCGTTTCTGTTATGTGATTGTGATGTGCTATTTGTGACATGTACTGTATGTAGTAACGTGTGTCGTTTATTGTTCTCTTTTATCCTCACACCGGTATCTACTTGTCTTCCTCCTTTTTATTTATTTTATATATTTTCTTATAACTAATGCTGTTGATATATGGTAATTTTAAGGGTGTCTATTACCATCTGGCCGGGGAAAACAGCTGGAAATTAGCCATGTCGGCTAAAGCTGCTCCATTTACTGTTTTTGTGACAGTTCATCGATGGGGACTGTCCACGACACTATAAATAAATAAACTAAACTAAACTAAATATCTGTACATCTGTGTCTTCAGAAGATGCTGGTGTCCCACCCTTATAAGACCTTGGTGACGTTTGGCGGCTGCAAACAGGACTTCATGCTGGTTGTGGGACAGAGCAAAGACAAAGCTACAGAGAAACATCTGTTTGCTATGGACGCCTCAAAGGTTAGTGAGCAATCAGGCTGTTTTACAATAACCTTGGTGTCCATCATGACCATTCAGACACTCAAGTAGGGTTAGACAATCAATCAACCTTATTACGTGCAGCTTTAAAGCAATTTCCTTTCATTTTTATTACATAAATGAAAAGGTTTTAATTTCTGTCAGAATTCTATCAGCTTTGACAGTTGAACCATTACTAATTGAATATTTACCTTGGCCAACTGAGAATCCTGAGAGACTGGTTTAAGGGATTCATCTTGACATGTTCTGGGCTTTACTAACTTGCAATGCTATATTAAATGAAAACAGCTGATAAAACCCCCCAAAAGCTTTAATTTGAATTGTTATTTAGCATGAAAATTGTGAACTTGTGGAAGTTTAAGTTGTTCAATAGCAAAACAATTCTGTCAGTAACTTCTTAACTTATCAATTTTGTTGAAAAACCACTTCGAATAACCCTAAACTTTTCTAAATGCACTCTTCAATAGTTACTAGCATTATATTGCATCTCTTAAAGAGCATTGACTAGCCGAAGCAGACCCTTAAACGATTTCATAAAGTGAACTTTAACCATGGAGGCACCATCAAAACGACACGCTGACAGGCCTTTTTGTTGTGTTTTGCCATCAGATAAGGGAGATCACCCTGCTCATCTCCGGTTACATCAACAGCACTCATCAGCAGAAGGCGGCGGCGCACCACCTCTCCGCCCCGGCGCTGATGGTGGCGCAACCCATCAGCCTGAAGAGCAAAGAGCTGAGGAGCAAATCCCCCCCGACTCTGGGACGCCCCAGCAAGACTCCCACGCTGCTGTGACGACACAAACATAACTCACCCTGAGAAATATCAACCCTTTTACTTCACTTATATAACAAAAAGGAAGGATTTACCTACAGTACAGGTTTAGTTAGACAGAATGTCCTGTCCTTTCATTTCAAGCATATAAAAGGTAATTTATAAACCTGGAGCAGTGTGTTGTAATACCCTCAAAAGTGTCTTGAAACAACATTCTTCTAAGAAATTGTTTGTCACTGATGAATGTGTTGCATTCAAGTGCCGACTCCAAAGAAAAGTCAACACTCTATATTGACAGGCTGAGCTAGCGTTTTGCGGTCTCATTATTAATCTACCTGTACCTTGTGCAACATTAACTTGTTCAAAGATGCTGTTTGAAGTAAATTATTGTATTCTGGATTCAACCAAATAAGAGGCAATGACTCTTTGTTAGGGAATAATTAAGACAATTGTTTTTTTATTTTTCCTTCCCCCTGTAGGGTATTGAAACCCTACCAGGAAGTGAAACCCAGACAGTGTTAGATATAATGATACTGAACGATATGATGAACGCAGAAGGAAAGACTGAAGAAAACTGTTCAAAAAGTGAAGTAAAATCGATGAGTTGGCGGTTTGTCTAACTTAAAAAAGGACACCAGTTTAGACCCTGTGTGCTGTTAGTTACTGAACAGCCAGGAGAGTGGTGGAACTTGAATCAAATACTTCAAGCCTTTCTGGTGAAGAGTAACTGAAACCAGCTAGATGCCTTCATTTAAAGGGCCCTATTATGCTTTTTGGGGTTTTCCCTTTCCTGTAGTGTGCTATATAAGTTTTTGAGCATGGACATGGTCTGCAAAGGCTAAAATCCCAAAGACTCCCCCCTGCTTGAAAGGCCTAAATCGGACTCCATTGTTTACTTCCATGACATAATGACATCACTACGTAACACTCGCGCTTCACTTGGCTAGCGCTCCGACTTATTGTACGTGATGGGCTAAGGGGTGGGACATCTCTAAACAGTTTACCAATCACAGCAGAGCCGGCCAGCTAACCAATCAGGGCAGACTGTGCTCTGGTTTCAGACAGAGGCTGAAAAGAGGTGCTGCTGAGAAAAATAAAGAGATTTTTGAACATTAAAGCATGGAGACGTCACAGTAGAGGCACAACATACTAATATGAACCGCAAATTGAGCATAATAGGAACCCTTTAACAGAGAGGAAACGCAGATACATTTAGAGGAAGATGGTAAGAGGATGTGGCAGTGTGGGTTAAAGAGAAATAGAGTTTTATCTGTACTGTTTTGTGTGTAATAGAAACATTTAACCCTCTAAAGCTTTTTGTACAGGAATATATCCTAATATGACTCGCTGGAAAAGGAGACAAACTTTCACCCGAACCATAAACAAAGGTTAGCTCCCATCGAATCAAATGAACACACGAGGTGTCACATGAACGGCTAAAGTGACCCATGTCATAAAGGTGTAAACAAGTACTTTGAAGTATTATTCCAAGCTTGTACAGAAAAGTATCGTCAGTTTTATATTTATTTGTCATAAAAGTAATCATCCTTGGAATAAATCTTATGACTGTACATGTAATGCCTGAATAAACAAAACTACAGCAAAGTGTGTATGCAGTCTCTCATATTAACAATCCACGCCCACCAGAAACCATAACACTAGTTTTTTTCTAGAGTTTCCCTTCATTGGTGCAAAAATAAAACTGACGTGTTGATACCTGCAGCAGGTGCCTGACCGCAAGAGACACACCTTCATTCCTGTAGTGTCGAAGAGAGGTGGGGGAGGGGAGGAGGAAATACATACCCAACCTGCCTGAACTAGTTAGAGACATGCTCTTGTCCCTGTGTTGCTATGGAGACAAGTGGGGGGAAGGCATGGGGTTGAAATGGCGTGGTAAGAGAACTAAAAGACAAATGATTAATTGTAATACTCTGCTGGTTAATATACAGTATTCAAACTAGGAGCACAATTACAAAGTAAGGTCAACTATCTGATTTGTGTACCTTCAAGATAATACATTTAGGCTGCTTACAGCTTTTTTTGGCACAGCGTTTACTTTGTATCCCTTGAAAAATAGAGACTTATCCTACATTGTGTGACAGGTTAAACAACGACCGCTTCTTAGAGTGCTGCCTTAAGCTGGAGCACACCAAACCCAAACACAGAGGTCATGTTGTGACAGGATACAAATGCCATTTTTAAGCAGTTTCACCCAAATGTAAGTTTGCTGCAACAACACCCGTTTCAAGATGATTGTGTAACAAATTCCCAATTCAGTCTTCGGTTAGGTCTCCTGTTTTGACAAATGAATAAATGCTGCCAGAAGTCATTTTAAACTCCTTTGTGTACATACTGCACTAGTTTTTTTTATGATAGTGACAGGTTGAACGCTTTGCAACAGTTTCTGAGGTGAGATAGAAGTGACTAACCAGCTCCCTTTAACAAGGTAGTCTCAGTCAGACAGTATCACTAAACAGCACACTTACATTCCACACACCTGAGCTCAAACAGTCAATATTAAACTACATTCAGGCATGGATGAGACATTTACAGGTGTATTTTTAGTCAGATTCAAGCCAAGGACAATGGAAACCAGAGATTAAAGTGTCCTTTAAGGATTCAAAACAGGTAGCCACACCCTTTTAAAAAACATTTCAACACAGTAGAAATCTGCCCTGTGTAAATCTACATTAGAGTAAGCAGCCATTTCATGCAACACTAAAGGGAGGGAATAAACAATGAGCACAAAATGCAAAATGGTGCCCAGTGTTTTCCTCTAGCTTCATCACTTCCCCCCCTGTACTTTTCCACTGTGTCCGAGGCACAAAGCTTCATACACAAACCCTTAGTTTTAAAATAAGAAACCTGCATCACATCAAGTCTTTTAAAAACGTTTTTATTAAAAACAATCCATCAAACACACATAAGTAACAAACTGTACAATCTATGGCGCAACATTTAAACCCTTCAAATGTGTTCTAAACATAAAACTGCATACGGTCTAGGCTAATTTTTTAAAAGTTCTTTATGGCATATAGATTTGAAAGTTGTGTCAAGACTTTAGAGAGTTTATAAATAAAAATGGCGGTACCGGCAGTGTCAACATAAAAAAAACAACACAAGCAAGTTCATCCCTTTACAATCCATATTCCTCAAGTAAATTGGTCAAAATGGCACCCTCCCACTGCAATTAAAAGTGAATCCTAAACAGGTGATTTACAAGCCAACTCTTCATAGACTCCTGAAGAATTTACATGGGCTCCAGCTCTCTTGACTGAATTAGAAAAAAGCACAAAAAAAGTTGTTAAAAACATTCTATGGTGCAAAGATATATTTTACTGAGATTGTTAAAATGTCCAAGATGTTCATCTCACCTGGGCTTTGTTGTATCTCTGGTTCTGTCGCTTTCTGGCGAAGAACTAAACCACAAAAACAGAGGGTTAGGATTTGTAAACTCAAAAGATGTGCATGCTGAAGAAAAGCCATGTTCCATGAGTAGATAAATGCACTCACCAGGACCAACAGGCCGGCGACCACAGCCAGCACCACCACCACGATGACGGCGATGATCCCACCAGACAGGTTCTTCATGGTGAACGTCGGGGGCTCCTCATCCACGTAGTACACCAGGATCTTCTCCATCTCCACCTGCTGGCCTCCCATAGTGGCCGCAAACTTTTCCTGGTTCTTGAAGAGGGGCAGCACCTTGACCTGCAGGAGAGGAGATTATAATAATAGGGTCAATGGATTTCTGTTGGATATATACATATATACAACATTAAATAAACATTTAACATACATCTTTCTCCATGTAGTAGGCCATGTTGGTCAGGTCATTCTTGCGGTCTCCCTTGGGTTTCTTCACATCCACCACAATCATGCGAGAATCAGCATCATACTGCAGAAGAACAGACAGGAAATTAGTGGAGTGTTCCTGTAATGCTGCTCTGATAATAAATTGTTAAAGAAGTCCCTATGAAGTTGACTAATGTAACAAAGAGCAAATAATAAGCGTGGAGTGGCACAGACTAAGCCAACACTCTAGACCTCAACCTTTTCCACCATGTTCTTGTTAGAAGTTGCATAACGCCTTGTAATGGCATCGGCAATGGCACTGTGTAAAAAGGCAAGAAAATTAGAATATAAGAAAACTCAAATCTAATGTCAGTGTTTTTTCAATAATTTTAAATAGATTACGTTTTCAAATTATCTTTATTCAGTGAGTTTTCACAGCTTGTGTGTCAGCTGACAAGAGACGCGACCCAGCTAAAAGAAAAAGAAGCGGTTAATATATAAGTTGTTGGACACTATAACTTTGAAACACAGTCCTGCCGAAATGATGTTGACATCAATTACTTGGTCTCCACGCAGCTTCTCCACACTTTGAGGGTTTTGTCTCCCTTTGTCAGTTCTACGAACACGAGCACTGTTGACACACCAGGCACTCCTCTGTGTTGTTGCACTGCTTGGCTTGAATATGGCCAGCTGTTGCTCAGCACTCTGTCGTATAGATGCGCGCATCGTTGTCCACCAAGGCAGAACTCACTGGTTTCCTCGCGATATGACGGGTGCTAAGGTTCTTGTTACATCTGTACATCTCAGCTTCATCAAAGAAGCCACTTAGGAATCACGTTAAGTTGGGGGGAAAGGGTAAATCACAAGAGCCAAAAAAGTAAGGAAATCTACATTACTTATTTCATCCAATTATGTTTTACTTACTCTTTTGGTGGGCAGTTAAATGGATTTGCTTCGTTTTGTCAGCGCAAGCAACATCCAAGT